CGTCTGAAAATCAGCTGTGAATTGTAACATACAAAACTCAATAAAACAAATATATTATTTAATTTCAAATGCTTTTATTTGTTTTAATTTGTTTTTATGAATATGGACAATATTTTCTGAAAGCAAAAAATTTTTTCAATGAAAATTGAATTTTTAATACAATTATTTCTTATTTCTTTAATTTTAAAAAGATTTAAAAAAAATTTTTAAATTGAATTTTTAAAAATATTTTAACATTAGTTAAAAGCAACATCAACCTTTCAAAATGTCTGTGAGATTGTCATTGTCTAGCGCTTTGAAAATTGTATAATTTGGACCAATCAGATTAGCCATGGTAATTAAGAAATGTAATTTTTGTGTTTATAGTCGGACAGTAATTATCAAGTACGGAAGACCAACCAGAATACAATTTAGTTGCATTATTTGAGTTCAGCATTGTTCTCCGCTGTTAAGCCCTTACTTTTTTGCGAAACAGGTATGGAGAAGTTAATTTGAGTTTTCAATTTCAACTGAGAAGGGTACCTACAAGTAACAGTATCATCTTATGAAATATAACTACTGCTAAACTTTAATTTATATGATCTTATTTTTTATATTAATCTCAGTTATGACATTTTTCCATAAATGAAATATCAAAATTAATAATAAAATGAATGGAAATACAAATAACGCAGTAAAATGTAATAAATGTACATAAAATTATAGTATTTATGTACACTTTCATAAGAAAGGTACCTAAATTAATTAGATACCTTTTTTCTTATGAAATTTAATCTCACTATTAACAGTCTTATCTTTTAATTTCTTTATATTTTTCCATAAAGCATCGTAAACGTAAAATGAAAGCTAAGTACAAAAAAAAAAAAAAAAATAAAAAATTAGAGCGCTGAAAGTTTTCCTTAAAAGTAACGAGGTAAATAATTTGTTCACTTAAATAATTTCAATTCCTTCCATCCGTAGAAATAATTATCCTCCCGTAAGTTATCTAAACGTCATGAATGTGCCTTTCGTCAATCGTCAAGCGACGCGAAAGGTTATGACCTGCTTTCTTAAAACAAAGCAGGTCATAACCTTTCGCATTTTCTGCATTTTCAAATTACATTTTTTCGGCGCAGAAGCTAAGTTAAGCTTGGTTCAAAATATTTTAAATAAACAGTATAATTTCTGTTTTTATTAAAATCAGTTTTGAAAAAATGATAATTGATTTTTAAAAAAATATCAAAGTCAGATTTTAATCTTTTTTATCATATCGAAAAAAAATGATTGAAAATGATTGATTATCTGTCCTTTTTTGACCAAAAAAAAACAATATTTTTAACGAAAACTTCAGACGTGCTAGGAACGATTAAAAAATGTAAAAAAATACACCCCAAATACTTTGATCTTTCCTCTTTAATAATATGAACATTAGACGATAAAATTTTGTTTTCGTTTTTTCGGCTTTTTTTTCATCATGCTATGCTCTTTTGTTTACATTTTCGTGGGTGAGTTGTCCCCCTTTAATTCTCACGATGTGTCTTAATCGTGTTTTCACATTGATTTTGTTAAAAAACAATTTTGTTTTTCCCATTTTCGGCGCCGTTAGAACCATCACAAGGTAATTTTATGTGGTCCTATGAAGTTTTGTTGAAATCGGCTAAAAAATGTCGGAAATTCGATCCAATATATAAACGTTACAGACACACACACACACACACACACACACGCAATCTGCGTTTTATAATAAGTAAGATATATATATATATATATATATATATATATAATGTAAATCTATTTAAACTCGGTGGCTGAAAAAAACCGGGATAGCACAATTTTCAAATAAATTGGCATCCGACGAAAAATGCAAAAAATTGTCCAGTACCTTAAATCTCTGGTACAAAGAAACAAAAAACGCCAGCGCGTAATAAGTTAAAACGAAGAGTGCTCAATACACAAAGTAGAGCAAATGTAAAATAAATAAATCCTAAGAAACCAGATACTACCAACGTTTCATTACATAGGATCATCAGGGGCGACTGGCTGATGTTCCCATGTGGTTAAACCTAGGTAGGTAGTACCTGCTTCCTTAGGATTTATTTATTTATATATATATATATATATATATATATATATATATATATATGTATGTATGTATGTATGTATGTATATATAAAAAGGCAGGGTGTGTGTGTGTGTGTGTGTGTGTGTGTGTGTGTGTGTGTGTGTGTGTGTGTAACGAATGTACGGCCGCAATTTTTGACGGATTTGCACCAAAATTTACATGCACATGCTCCAAGTTAGTGAGAAGACCAAGACTGACTTTGCATTTCCCAAATCTCATCGATAGTGGAAATAATTGATTTTTTCATGCTTCTACAGCAGTTTTCATGTAGTTTGCGGCCATTTTGTACTGGCCAGAGTGAGAGCCAATAGCTGGCTGCTACGAATAGGCAGGAAGATTCTACTGGCCAGCGTGAGAGCCAACAGCTGACTGACATAAATGTTAACTAGCATGCTAACA